ACTAGTTAAAGGTGCAGAAAAGCATTGCTTGGTGGTGACCTCTAAACCCCAAGATTTCTCTCTCTCTTACTTACTCCTTATTACATTTAATTATTTAGTTTAATTTGCTCTCTAGTTTAATCAACCAACCAATTGTTTTATCACTCGACCTACTAACCCTAATAGCGATTCCACAATCAAGTACGACTCCAATCCCTTGGGACGATCCTTACTCACCCTAACTATATTCTTAGTGAAGGTAGTATGGGCTTCTGTAAATGTAAAACTTGGCACTCGCCTTAATACACACTCTCTTAAGCTTGTGGTAGGACGGCAGCACCCGACCACCATTAGTTTCCTCGAAATACGTATCTTTACTTTTGCAAGAAAGTACTCTGGTTGCTCCCGGTGTCCATAGGGGCATGGATGCACAATTCTTTGGAATTGTTTTCATTTTTTGGGGTATTTTTCATAAATATCTTTTGAAGATATTTTATTTCAGGGGAATCTAAGAAAATACCTTTTGGAAGATATTTTCATTCTGGGGCAATTTCGCAGTTAACCTTTTTTGTAGGGGTCATTGTGCAATTAACAAAAGTTATTGCAAAATACCTCGTCTGGAGCCTGGATCCTCGTACAAGATTCATTTTCACATTTCATCGAGTCATGGACTCTTGGAATTTCTTTCTGGTCATTTTTCTCCAGTTTCAGAGTTTTTGGACCCGGCTGCCGCCGAACTTGTTCGAGGCATATCTCTCTGCTCGGGACTCAATTTTCAACACTGTTTCTTCGTTGTTCATATTTCTCATTTTAAATCTTTTTCGTTCATAGAGTTTTGCCGTTTGAGCGCGTTTGCTCAAATTCCACTTTTCCGGACCCGGCGAGGCCCTTTCGGGGCACTTTTTGAGACTTACTATAAATAGGGGACTTAAAGAAGAAAATTCATATTTTCTTCATCTTCTCCACCATCTTGGCCGGTAGCCATAGGAGCTCCTTGGCTGCCAACCTTTCTCCTTCTCCTCCACTTGATTAACTTGGTAGAAATTCTTCGGCCTTTACATTTATTGTTCCCCTCAACGTGCTCTACCATTCCCCCTTATTAGAATTCATTTCTGACCATTTCTTGAGTTTGGGTTTGAGGTCAAGTTGTGATTTTCATGGGGCTTCCTTCGGATTCAGGTAGATCGTGTTGTCCTCGACAAAACCATTCAGTTTCGGCGGATTCGGAACACTTTTTTTTCGATGGGGATTTGAGATTTCCATCTCAAATTGAGGTAGGGGGTGTTATAATTTACTTTCTTGCTATATAACATGCTATGGATGCTTGTACTACTTGTTTACATGCTTGGATATTAAATCTAGAATTTTTATTTATTTAAATTTCATGTGTGAGATTTAATTTTCCCGGTGGATTATAGCATGTTTTAAACTTGTGGCATGATAATATATTACCCCTTGATATGGTCATTGACATATATTAAATCTAGATCATTTGGACAAGTAACGAAGATTTTATTTAGTATTTATCTTGAATAAAATATTAAATCATGTGGCCTTAACTAACTTGAAATCAATATGTGTTAGCATATTATATTAGGCCTTGGCATGCTTTTCAACATAGGTGAATTTGAGAGAAATTGGAAGTGTTTTGAAATCTAGTAATATTTAATTAATTAGATTAATTAAATTGCTCCAAGTGTACTATTCATTCCGTTGGAATTCCGACTTGAAATTCTTGATGTGCATGGCATGTAGTTTCATATATATTATATCTAGAATATTTGATTAGGTTTTGGAACTTTTCAATTATTATATTTCTAGTATTAAAGTTTAATACTCAAGGTAGTATCTTGCTTAGAACTTATTTGTATCATGGTTTTAAAACAAGTCTTGACATGTTGTATAACATACTTTAATTTGAGGTCATTTGGATGACTTTTAAAATCTAGAGATTTTAATTAAATGAATTAATTAAAATCCATTCAATGGTTTCATGAGCTAGATTAAGTTTCTAACCTTATATTCATGATTTCGTTGGCAAGTTCCTTCACTTCAAACTTATATTTAATTAATTCCCTTTAATGGAATTTAATTCACATGGTTGCATCTTGTATGTAATGGACTTGTAACTTGACAATGAACTTGGGCTTGACATGATCCTTAAAATAACTTGTTCGTAGAACATTTTGACTCACCTGGAAATCTTGATAATTTAATCCTTGAGTAGATTAAATTTCCTTATATGCTTCCATCGAGTTAATCTGCCTTGTTAGTGAATTCTTGTTAGACTTGTGAATTTGACTTGAATTCCATGGACTTTATTCTCTTTTATCAAGCATCATGACTCTTGTATCTTAGTTTCATTAATGTACTTCATAGACTTGTACATTTGTCTTAGAATGGTTTAATTACACATGTGTTGTTTTGTAAGTAGCTAAATCATTAATCTTATACTTGTGGTATATTTACTTCAGTGATTTCTTGTGTTAAATATATATCTTGATTCTAGTTTATATAGATGCACACTATGATTTCTTGACATTTCACATGCCATGATAGTTGATGAACTTAGGGTATGACTTGTGTGTTCCAAAATCTTGGTTGTGCATGAAACGTGGTTAATGCATTTCTTGTATTTTGATGCAATCTTGGTTGCACAACTTGTTGATTTTGAGACTTGGGATATCAATCAAGAATTATCATGGCTAGGACTTGGTTCTAGTACGGGGGATTGTCCTCCTACACTATAGTGCGCACTAGGAGAAAGGTACCCATGGGTTAGTAGCCTTAAAGTGATCTCAAGAGTATGGTTTTAATCCGGGCGATATCCGAGTTTCCACATTGGTTGATTTCACTCTTTAAATTTCAAGTTGCTATTCCTTGAAGATTTAAACTTGTCGTGTATGTGAAATGCTCCAATCATATTAATTGCATTGATAATGTAACTCGTGTTAACTTGTATTAGAGTATACTTCTTGTCATGTTAATTGGTATGTTCTAAACCTTGTTCAATTCTATTAATGATGTGATATTTGTATTCTAGTACTTTCTTGTCGTGTTGTACGGATTATTCCAAACCTTGTTTAATTGTATTAAAAATGCAATTCATGTTGATCTGTACTTAAGCATCCTTCTTGTCGTGTTCTTTGGATTATCCCAATCTTGACTTGCTTCATATATGTAGATATATCATGATTCTTATTGCTTATGCTCCATGGTAGCTTAGGATGATCCTTGAGTTTAATCTTTGATATAGACGTTAGGTGGCATGATCCCTTTTGAACTATATCATGTTAGTCCTAAAAATCTCTAAAGAAATCGAGTCGATGCATGCTCATTCTCTACGAGTAAACTTGTTTACTTACCCCGAAGTTATTGGGGGATTTGTTCAGGTATGAAGACTTGGTTCGTGATGCTCGTCGCTCCTTCGAAGGCTTATATCTTTTGCATTTCCATTTCATGCAAGTGTTCGCATGAAATGATATGATTGTAACCTTTTGTATAAAACTTGTATTCCTTGATTCCACATATGTAAAGTGTGCATAAGCACACTCTTTTCATTGTATTCAATATGTATAAGATAAGGCCAGAGGCCAATATCATGTATTATGTATTCTATGCACTTTTACTTTTAAAGTCATTGTGAAAACATTGAAAATTTACAAGTCTTTGCCTTATAACTTTTGCAACGGCTGTGGGAATTCCATTCTTTCTTTTTCATAGGGTTTCTATGATCGTGTATGAGGTGTGGCCAAGGGCCAAACACCATTTCATTCTAGGTCTTGCATTATAGTTCCATTTCTTCCATTTTTAGGCATTTTTGGCCGTTGAGAGGTTATATTTTGTATTCTTGACATTTTGAGGTCACGGACCATTGGGACGCGTCTTAAATGTCTTTTTACGTGTGCGTGCATGTCCACATTTCACAAAACCCTTGAGTTTCAACTTTTGACCTATTTTTGGATGATTTATTAAATTTTTATGAAAAATTCCTCCACGGGGTGTCATTTTGAGTTTCCCCTTGTTTTAGCATGTTTTGATTGCTACAATGATGTTAAGAGATGTTTTCAAACTTTTCTGGATCATGTATAAAGCTTAGAGAGCCTTAGAAATGAACCTAACATCACATACACCATTACAGCAGCTTTTCATAGTAGCAGCAGGAGTTTCAATCGGCTGATGAAACTCCATCGGTCGGCTGACGATTCCCTCGAGACCATTCCAGTAGGCTTTTTAGGAAAAACCCTTGTTTTGGCTGGCTGACGACTGGGGTTCGGCGGACCGACGGTTAAGTTTCGGCTAGCTGAAGGTTGTATTTTGGTCGACCGATCCTCCCTGGAACCCACTCCCTCTCAGCATATTTTGGACAGCTTTGTTGTTCCAACTTTGGTGTTGTTCCAACTTTGGGAGATCATATCTCTTTCATTTCGAATCCGATTTGGGTCATACTTGACTCTAAATTCAAGAGCTCGGAGTTAGCTATCCAATGGTACCAACCAAACATCATAACTCCATCTATGATGAGAGTTTTTCCAGTTTTAGTAAGTTAGGTTCATGGTAATTCTTACACGGCGAAGGCCACCTTGTTTTAAATTCATATCTTGTCCGTTCGAACTCAGAATCAGGCGATTCTTGGGTCTAACCTTGTTCATTTTTCGTTGTCTTTCCAATGGTGTGCTCAGTGGCACCCATATCAAGTTAGAAATGACCATTTTGCCCTTCGTTCATCTCTTTTCGGATTAGCCATTCTTGCTTCATTTGTTTAGCTCATGTGAGTTTAGTGGCTTTACGGGAAGTCACTTCAGTGCCTTAGGGATGACGTATATCTCTTGAGGCCATTCCAATTCTTTTGCTTCCGCATCTTGGATTCGGTTCGGGTCATCACAGGACACGCTGGGTTGAAAAATCCTGGGTTGTCACAGAACAACACATTCTTGCAGTCAAGTGCATTATTTGTTATGTCAATAGTATATTGTATTATGGATTGCGTTATTCTTCTGAGTCTAACTCTAAGATTGCAGGCTATACTGATTCTGATTGGGCTGGTAACAAGGATGATAGTAAGAGCACTTCAGGTGGTTGTTTCTATGTTGGTACCAATTTTGTTTCATGGTACAGCAATAAGCAAAATTACATATCTTTATCATCTTGTGAGGCTGAATACATTGCTGCGGGAAATTGTTACACAGAATTGCTTTGGATAAAACAGATGCTTCTAGATTATGGAGTTGATCACATTACTTGATAAGTACACAAAACCTATTATTTTATGCCCCAAAATAAGGTTTTAATTAGACTTTTATATTATTTAAATATTCTTATATGTTTGTTTTGTGTTTTGTAGGTATTATTAATGCATGAATGAGAAGAAAATAAACAAAAAAATGGAAAATAAGTGAAAAAGAGAGAAAGAAGAAAAGAAAATGAAGAAAAGATATAAGGAGAGAAAAAGAAGAAAAGAAAAGAAAAAGAAAAAGTCAAACTATATTGTGTGGTTTGTGGGTGCACGTGAAGAGGAGGAATGAAGAGAGAAATAGGAGGAATGAAGAGAGAGAAAGAGGAGAAATGAAAAGAGAGTGATGATGAGGAGAGAGAGAAAGAAGAAAAGAAAAGAAAAAATATAGGAAATGGTCAATGGCAGCAGAAAGGTGGCGTGAAGCAATGAAGAAGAAATTTGGGCAAACCATCATCACAGCCTTCAAGTGGATTGCTTCAACTGTCTATAAATTGCACACTTTGGATAATGAGAGGGAGTAGAAAGTTAGAGATAGAAAATAGAGAGTTAGAAATTGTTATAGTTTTTGAAAGTTTAATTTCTTGTGTAATTTTCTTTAAAGCTTTATTTAATTTAATGCAAGTTATTTCCACAAGTTTCATTCTCATTTAATTTCTCATTCAAGTGTTTAATGTTTTATAGTTGTAATTTCATTTCCATAGTTCGTGACAAATCTCAAAATCAATATTTTTAAATCTCATGTTCGAAAATAGAAACTCACCTTGAATGCGTGGTTCGACCCTACTTGCCATTAGACATTTTTAGTTAAATGGTTGTAGGTATTTTATCTTGAAATGGAGGGTATTTGACAACGATAAGTCTATAAATACACGCCTATCAAATGGAGCCGTTGCCGCTTCAAAGTTGAGTTAAAATTTTTGGACCAATTTTTATTTTATTGTTTATCTATTTTCTATTTTTATTTTGGTCATTTTTTTTAATTTTTTTTGTTTTCTGTTTTTCGTGTTATATATAAAATTAAAAAATAAAAAAAAATTACTCACTGTTTGGCATTATTGCTATCCGCTGATTTCTTCAACTCCCAGGTTTAGAAAGAAAAAAAAAATAAAAAAATAAAAAAAAAAAGTGTGAATTTTTTCTCTCTTTTGTGCTTCTGCGTTGATATATATATATTTTACTTCTGCATTTTCTTCAAACTGTTGTATACGGTGAGAAGAACAAAAAAAAAATATTTCGTGTTCCACTGTTGGTGTTTACTTACAGTGCTTTGTTAGTTGATTTTAAAAAAAAAAAAAGAAAAAAAAAGCAAACCCAGTTTGCTTCACTGTCATCAAGCCGTCATTCTCACTGGCCGTCCATCTTTGTCATCCAAGGCCGAGCCAACAACCGTCATCTACACCGCTGCACGCTTCCAAGCTCGCCGGTGCCACGAGCTGCCGTGAACCAGTCCTCACAAACCGCAGAGCCATCCACAGTCGGCTCTCCGTTGCCATTTCCACCGCGAGCTTTCCACCTCCGAGCTCGCCGTGCCCATCACGACCGAACAACAGTTCAACCACCGTCAGCCACTACCTAAGCCCACCGTCACAGCCGCCGTCCACATGGCCGATTCTGCCATCGCCATCTCTCCTCCGACCAAGCTCGCTGTCGCCGGCTGGCCATCTCATCCTCGCTGTCCTTCTTTTGGGTTTGACAGACATCAAAGACATATATGATATATATGTGTATGTGATGAATATATGTGTATATATAGAGTAATATTTAGAGAGAAATAGATGAGATAGTAATGGAAACTTTCATTGATATACTCGTGAAGTGTATCTCAGAACAATAGTTACATGAGTATTTATAGGCACAAAACAGAGGCTTTTAGTGTAAGTTCCAAGTGCAGCCTTTCTCCTCACGCCAATGTATATAGCTTACTTTGGAAGTCAATTCAAAAAGTCTTCCATCATCATTTCCTGTGGACACCAATATATATAACACTCCCCCTTGGGGTCCACTACACTATACTAAGAATATGCCTCGTTAAAACCTTACTAAGGAAAACCCAGTGGAACAAAGCCCTAGTGAAGGAAAAAGAGTACAGTATTCTTGTGTATCTGAAAATGGTATTGCATAGATTAAAACTGCCTCATTAAAACCTTGCCAGGAAAACCCAATGGGATAAAACCTGGACGAAGGAAAAAGAGTACAGTATGCTAATACCTCTTTGATCAATTGCTCCCTCTCATTAGTTCAACCCTGAAGATTCTTTAGTTGACGCATTCTAATGTTGTCCACTAACTTCTTGAATGTTATAGTTGGAAGCGCTTTAGTGAATAAATCTGCTAGATTATCACTAGAGCGTATTTGCCGAACATCGATATCACGGCTCTTTTAGAGCTCGTGTGTGGAAAAGAATTTTGGTGAAATGTGCTTGGTTCTGTCACTTTTTATGTATCCTCCTCTTACCTGTGCAATACATGTTGTATTATCTTCATATAATATTGTTGGACTATCTTTGATTGAGGAGAGTCCACATGATTCTCGAATATGTTGTATAATAGATCTCAACCAAACACACTTTCTACCTGCTTCATGAATTGCGAGTATCTCAGAGTGATTTGAGAAAGTTGCAGTCATGGTCTGTTTCATAGATCGCCATGATATAGCAGTACCATCACAAGTAAACAAGTACCCTATTTGTGTGAGGGTCAGAAAGATAACCTGCATCTGCATATCCGATCAACTGGGGCTTTAATTGTCATGAATAAAACAATCCCATATCAGTCGTTCCCCGAAGGTAACACATAATGTGTTTGACCCCATTCCAATGTTTTCGAGTTGGTGCAGAACTATACCGTGCTAGTAAGTTGACTGCAAATGCTATATCAGGTCTGGTATAATTTGCAAGGTACATTAAAGCACCGATTGCACTAAGATATGGTACTTCAGGACCAATAACTTCTTCGCCTTCTTCCAGAGGATGAAAAGGATCTTTCTTCACATTGAGTGAATCATTGGAGAACTCAAGGGGTGAGCTTTATCCATATAAAAGCGCTTCAGGACTTTTTCGGTGTATGTTGACTGATAGATAAGAATTCCACTTGGTAAATGTTCGATCTGCAGGCCGAGACAAAATTTTGTTCTACCAAGATCTTTCATTTCGAATTCTTTCTTTAAATAATTAGCAGTCGTGGTGAGCTCTTCAGGAGTTCCCACAAGATTTAGATCATCAACATATACAGCTATAATGGCAAATCCAGATTTTGATCATCAACATGGACAAACTTGATTATTCACATATCCTTCTTTGAGTAAATACTCGCTAAGTCGATTGTACCACATGCGTCCAGATTGTTTCAATCCGTACAAGGATCGTTGTAACTTGATGGAATACATGGTACGTGGTTTCAAGCTATTTGCTTCAGGCATTTTAAATCCTTCAGGGATTTTCATATATATATCACTATCTAGTGATCCATATAAATAAGCTGTAACCATGTCCATCAGACACATATCCAGTCATTCTGAGACTGTCAAACTGACCAAGAAGCGAAATGTGATTGCATCCATCACAGGAGAGTATATCTCTTCATAATCAATACCAGGTTGATGCGACCCGAGCGCGTGCACAAAATAATGCACAACACTTTAGGTTTAGAATTAATGTCAAGTGGGCATCATATTTTATAATTTATAAAACCGCTAGACACTTATACTCTGAAGTATATAGTGAGTAGGGATCGAACCCAAGAGATTGAACACGTGTTGGGATTAAACTTGATTTTAGTACTAATGAGATTGCACAAAAGAAAGAAAGAGAGAGAGAAAAAGATTTTGGGTGAAGTGATTAAACTAGAAATCGAAAGTATGGAAATAGAAATGACAATGCAAGTAAATTAAATTAAATTAAACTAAGAATTAAAGAGATATGAAGTGAGTCTTAGGGTTAGGATTCACCACTAAGCCCACGCAATTAACCATATGCTTTCAATTAATGGGGAATTCATTAGTGTAATTATAGATGTGGTCACATTATCATCACAAATCACAATTATAAGCATAGATTATCAACATCAAGAATGAATTGTCTACCTAATGACAATTAAACTAAAGTGTAGAACCTATTCAAGACTACGTCATAACCCACCATACACATTCACAAATGTATCCGATAAAAGCACACATCAATCAAGAGGATAATACTAATTGTAATTAGAAGTATGGATTAACATAATCAAGCACAAATTGCTACTTTACTACAGTTACCTAATGACAATAAGCTAATTTGTAGAACAACCTATCAAAATTAAGCCTTTATCGATCAAATTAATTGACAATTGTATCAACTAAGTCTCATGCTATGGCCATCACTAAACACAACTAAAAGAAGTATCTAGTGTAGAGTATAATTCTAAATCAATCATACATAGACATGCAATTTTCATATAGAATCAATGGAAGAATGAATTTTCAATCATCTAATGAAGAATAAAATCCCTAATTAATCATATATAGGCATACAATCAACTTGGAGATTTCAATGGAAGAATTAATCAATACAAGCCCTAATTTGTCAAATCAAGCATGTATATATAAATAAATCACAAAGCCATATATTTAATTACAACATAATAATTCCCCAAGAAAAGAAAAACAAAGGTTAGGGTTACATGAACTTAGGGCTCATCCAAGCCCTAAGTGAAGAACTAACTCATGGAGAAGATGATCATGATGTCAACAAGCTTCATCTCCATCTTTTGGCTCCTTCTTCTTCTTCCTTCAATTGTAGACAAAGCCTCTGTAAAATGTTCTTCCAACCCTAGCTTTTCCTTTTTCCCCAGAGAGAACGTAATATCACGGTACAGAAAAATAAAACTTAATAAAACTTTATAATTATAATAATATTCACCTAAATAAAATAAATACTAACCCTAATCTAATGACTCACTGGGCCTTAAGTAACAACTCTATAAAGCCCAATAGTTCACAAAATAAGCCCAAACAATAAAAAAAAAAATCTGTAATGTTGCCAAGTCCTGGGGGATCGATCCCCCCAGATTTGGAAATTTCCTTTAAGCCTTATTTAGCTCCATTTTGGCCCCGGGCTAATTGGTTTGCTTATTCATCTTTGGGAACATCATCAAAGGCCCGAGATTAACCACTTTCGAAGAATAAACACACTATACGAGCAATGGGCTACGACCTCTTTTTGTCATTTTCTGAACTTTTTCTGAATATCTTTGCTTGACTCCAAAAAGGCTTTAATGGACCGTTCTTAGCTCATTTTAACTTTATTGCCCTGAAATACACATAAACATAAATTAGGACTAAAACATGAAATTAAGATAGATGCAAAGACTGAAATACCCTAGCTTAGGTGCTGAAATGTGCAACATTTAAGCACTTATCACAGGTCTCTACGAGAAACCTTGGGCTACAAGTCGGGCTTTGTATCTTACGATTTTATTTTTCTCATTATATTTCCTTACAAATACCCATTTGTACCCTACAGGCATGACTTCTTCAGGTGTCTGGACTACAGGTCCAAATACTTCACGTTTTGCCAATGAGTTTAGCTCTGCCTGTATTGCTTCTTTCCATTTTGGACAATCATTTCTACATCGACATTCTTCGATGTTTTGAGGTTCAGGATCTTCATTAGCACCTGCAATATCAAGAGTAACTGCAAAGGAGAATATATCGTTAATAATAACTGTATTTCTATCCCACAATTCTCTATAGTTTATTGAGATCTCATTATTTTCAGGTACCAGTGCCTCTTCAGGGGCTTGTGCCACTTCCGGGGCTTGTGCCACTTCCGGGGCATGCATATCTTCTGGGGCTACCTGCTTATAAAATTTAGATTGATCAATCATTTTTGTTATTCCTTTTGCAAGTGTGACCTCTTCAGGAGCGCCAATTCCTTTTACAAGTGTGACCTCTCCAAGAGCGCCAATTTCTTTATTTGATTTCTCTTGTACTTTCCTCTTCTGGGGAACAGTGTCTTTTGCACCGACTGGTCTACCACGCTTCTGGCGTGTCTTAGATGCATTTGCAACAACACTGACAGACTATCCTACAGGGACATCAATTCTTGCTGGAATGTTTACAGCTGGTATATGTGATTTCATCACTTTCTTTGTGTTAGTGAATGCATCGGGTAATTAATTTGCAATACTTTGCAAATGAATGATCCTTTGAACTTTTAGTTCATATTGGTTTGTGCAAGAATCAAAATGAGATAAAGTTGAGACATTCCAATTAATAAATCGATGCTCTTCTGGTTTTTTCTTTTCTCCCCCTAATGGAAGGAAAACAGCCTCATCGAAATGACAGTCAGCAAACCGTGCCTTAAACATATCACCTGCCATAGGTTCAAGATATCTAATAATAGATGGAGAATCAAAACCTATATAAATACCAAGTCGTCATTGAGGACCCATTTTGGTGCATTGTGGGGGTGCAATGGGAACATATACAGCGCAACCAAAAACTCGTAAGTGAGAGATACTTGGTTGTTGACCCATCATAAGTTGTAATGGTGAAAAACTATGATATGCAGTTGGTCTAATACGAACAAATGATGCTGCATGTAATATCGTATGTCCCCAAGCAGAAACAGGTAGTTTAGTTCTCATGAGTAATGGTCTAGCTATTAACTGAAGACGTTTGATAAAAGATTCTGCAAGACCATTTTTGGTGTGAGTGTGTGCAACAGGATGTTCAAAAAGGATGCCAATTGACATACAATAGTCATCAAATGATTGATATGTGAATTCTCTGGCATTATCAAGACGAATAGTCTTGATTGGATAATCCAAAAATTGTGCTCGTAATCGGATTATTTGAGCAAGGAGTCGAGCAAATGCAATATTACGAGTAGAAAGTAAACTTACATGTGACCACCATGTTGATGCATCAATTGAGACCATAAAATACCGAAATGGTCCACACGCTAGACGAATTGGTCCACACATATCCCCTTGAATTCGTTGTAAAAATGGTGGGCATTTAACAACGACCTTGGAAGGTGATGGTCTGACTATTAATTTACCCTGTGAACAAGCAGTACAAGGATAATCATTTGCTAAAAGAATCTTCTGGTTCTTTAGTGGATGACCATGTGAATTTTCAATGATTCGGCACATCATTGTTGACCTAGGATGACCAAGGCGATCATGCCAAAGTATAAAAATATTTGGGTCGGAGCACTTCTGGTGTGTCACTGCATGTGACTCAATTACTCGTATATTTGTATAATATAACCCAGAAGATAAAGCAGGGAGTTTTTCTAATACATGCTTCTGGCATGTAATATAGAGATATTCAATGCCCCCTTCATTTATAGTCTCAATATGATAACCATTGAGACGTATATCTTTAAAGCTTAATAAATTTCTTTTGGATTTTGTAGAGTATAGAGCATCATTAATATTCAATTATGTTCCACATGGTAACACAATGATAGCTCTTCCGGAGCCTTCAATTAGGTCTGTTGGACCTGATATTGTATTGACACGAGCTTCAACTAATGTTATACTTGAAAAATATTTTCTATCTTGGAGTATAGTGTGTGTTGTTGCATTGTCTGCCAGACATATATCTTCACCATTTATCTTGGGTACAGTCAATGCCTTAGTCAGATCCATGTTTCTTCAGACACACAAAATATATATTTCATTACTTCAAACTTGAAATACAAACTAGATTTACATGCAAGATAGCCAAAATAAAAACATACTAGTACAACCTAGATAGAGACATATTGATACAGATAAGCTAAAACACACAAGGGATAACATGCTAGAGAAGGACACATTAATTGGTATGGACATTTCCATCACTAATCAAATGATCACTACTACCACTAGTATCAGCAAAGAAGTCAGAAACATCAAAGTGAGTAATATCAGTTGTTAAGTCGTCATCCACAAAATTCATTTCAATTTCTTTTCCTTTTCCCTTATCATTCATTGAGGCACGGTAAAGATCAACTAGATGTTTGGGCGTACGACAGGTACGCGACCAATGACCTTTCGTTCCACATCTATAGCAAGGTTTGTCATCATATATTTCAGGAGCTTTGTTCTGTAAAGCTTTTTCTTTTGCCTGCTTGGTCGCATTTGAATTCCACTTCTGGTGGGACGGTGTGGAGTTCCTTCTGGGAACCAATGAGGAATTATGACCACCACGATTATTATAATTATTTCTATTGCGACCACCACAACGTCCGCGTCCACGTCTATGTCCATGACCTTGAAATGATGACACATTTGCTTCTGGGAATGGTACAGATCCAGTGGGACGGGACTAGTGGTTTTGTATCAAAAGCTCATTATTCTGTTCAGCCACCAACAAACAAGAAATCAGCTCAGAATATTTGGTAAATCTGCGCTCTCTATATTGCTGCTGCAGGAACACATTTGAGGCATGAAATATGGAGTATGTTTTTTCCAACATATCATCATCAGTAATTTTTTCTCCACATAATTTCAATTGTGAGCTAATTTTAAACAAGGCTGAATTATACTCACTTACACTTTTAAAATCCTGCAATCGTAGGTGGATCCAGTCATAGCGAGCTTTCGGAAGGATCACAATTTTCTGATGCTCATATCGTTCTTTCAGATTTTTCCACAGTGTAAGTGGATCCATAACCGTGAGGTACTTTGTTTTTAGTTCCTCATGGAGGTGATGGCGAAGAAAGATCATGGATTTTGCGCGGTCCTGCAGGGACGCATTATTGTTTTCCTTAATTGTTTCTCCGAGATTCATGGCCTCCAAGTGAATCTCGGTATCAAGGGTCCATGACAAGTAGTTTTTGCCCGAGATGTCAAGTGCCACAAATTCAAGCTTGGTAATATTTGACATTGTGAACTATAAATGATAAAATAACATAGTTAGAATTATTTCACAAAAAGAATAATCAATTTGAGATTATAAAAATACTACAGTCACTATAGTATGATTTGTTAGTATATTATATAATGTCAACAAGTTAATTATGTGCTTTCAGTAAACAAAACAATAGCAAAAAGACAAAATATGTTTACACTAAAAGGCACATATAATTTATATTTCTACGTTTTACAAAACTTCAGGTTTGTAAGGGTACTCCGTGTAAATGACTTCAGGTCAAAGAATTTCAGATTCATTTGGACTTCAAGCCAACAAATTTTGCGAAACTTCGAGTTTGCAAAGAGTACCAAATATTTGTGAAACTTCAGGCTCACAAATTTTGCGGAACTTCAGGTTCGCAAAGACTATTTGTGAAACTTCAGGCTCACAAACAGTAGATTAATATATGCAAAACTTCGAGTTTGCAAATTAAATAATTTAGTATTTGAGAGACTTCGGGCTCAGCAATTTAATTTTCTATAAGGAATAGACAAAAATACTCTAACACAAATAAATAAATAAATAATTGCGAGACTGCAGGCTCAACAATGTTAATTATATGTGAGACTTGAATAATAACAGTTTAATATAAATTATTATTTTTCTTACCCTTTGAAGTGAGAAAGAAAAATAGAATTTTCTTCTCAGTGGATAGAGCCTCGTGCTGATAACGTGTGATGAATATATGTGTATATATACAGTAATATTTAGAGAGAAATAGATGAGATAGTAATGGAAACTTTCATTGATATACTCGTGAAGTGTATCTCAGAACAATAGTTACATGAGTATTTATAGGCACAAAACAGAGGCATTCAGTGTAAGTTCCAAGTGCAGCCTTTCTCCTCACGCCAATGTATATAGCTTACTTTGGAAGTGATCATTTCAAAAAGTTTTCCATCATCATTTCTTGTGGACACGAATATATATAACAGTATAATATATTTTAGATATATATATTTATATATATTATATCAAAGGCAAATAGCCCCTGTTTGGCTACAAGTGTAGCACTATCCTAGTTCAGGACCTAGACCAGAATCTAAACCAGTTTTACAAATTGGTTCTGTTGTAAACCAGTTCTGAAAAATAAAAATAAAAAAATAAAAAATAAAAAATAAAAATTGCCGATTCAAATTGGGGACTTATCTTGGAACATTCAAAAGATTGGATATTATCATTGGAGCACACGTGGAAAAAACGACAAATGATAGCTTTTTCTTCCAAGTAAGTACCTCAAATCTCCATTTAGCGGTTTCATATATTTTTTTAGACTAGTAAAGGTTAGTTTTTTTTTTTAGGTGATTAACTTTTGCATGCAAATTTTAGGATAGAATAACTTAGACGTAACCTTAAGTTCACAATTTCTTCTATTCTATTTTATTTTATTTTTGTATTTCTTTATCTTTAAAAAAAAAATTAAAAAAAAAAATCACACTCTCACTCCCTTTATTTTTATTTTTATTTTATTAATTGTCTTATTTGTACATCTTTTAATTATCATTTGCATAAGATACTTAAGGGCAAAACCTAAACAAGATACGGTCGGGATTTCATCACCCGTTTTTCGTGGCCCACAAATCATTAAATCCTTGCATTTGTCAAACCCGAGCCCAATTTAATTTAATTTTAAAATCAAGTAGACATTGGTCATAGGATTTTTCACATAGCTCATAGGATCCTCTTGGACAGAATTAATTTTTGGTCACTCCAGTGAGTACCTTCCAACTTGATAATGTCTAAGGAAAGTTTTGTCTAAGGGTGTGGGCGTACCGTCATTAAGCAGGCCTTGTCCTCCCCACACTTCCAGGAAACTTCCCTGGTTGTCTTGTTGGCAAGCCTTAATTGGTAAGCCTCTAATTATTGTAGAAAAGAGTAGGAGTTTTTTTTCATAGGAGCTTTAATTACTTTAGAAATAAAATCATCATCCTTGAATTTAAGCTCAAGATTAAAAAGCCAAAAATATTTGTGTGGTTTGTGTGTGCACTCCAGCCCATTTTTTGGATCTAATTCTCAAAGGCTTTCCCTCAAAAAAAATAAAAAAATAAAAAAATAATAAAAATAAAAATATCGTGTGCTCTTTGGTGTCCGTTTTGTATGCCCAGCTGGTTAAGAGTTAACAAACGATTAATCCATTGTTCCAGTGATCCTTCAATCTTTGCTTTGGAGAAAGCATTCTTACTTTCTTCCAAATCCAATTATTCTCCAATGGATCCACTTGTTCAACCAGTTCCACCACTTGTTCCACCAGCATAACCGTTTGTCCCACCTGTTCCTAGAACTTTGAATGACTATTTTGCCCCTATCACAGCCAATCCACCCAATTGTATTGTTCTTCCTCCTGTCGGACCTCAATTTGAGATTAGAGCCCATATCATCAATATGTTACCTAAATTTCATGGATTTGAAAGTGAATAACCTTATGTCCATTTAGGGAAGTTCCTAACCATTTACAGTACTTTTAAAAATCAGCATTTAGATGATGAAAGTGTCAAATTGCATCTGTTTCCCCTGTCCTTCGATGATAAAGTTTTCTCATGGTTCAACTCTCTTCCTCCAAACTCCATTAGATCATGGGATGAACTTGTTAAAAAATTCATGAACAAATTTTATCCAATGCAAAAAACAGAGTTAATGAGAGACGCCATAAGCACTTTCAAAGGGAATAATGAAGAACAATTCCATCAAACTTGGGAGCGTTTTCATGATTTGCTTCTCAAATGCCCACAGCATGGCTTTGAGAAACCACAATTGGTTCATTCTTTCTATAAAAGACTTTCTCCTACTAACCGAACCATGATTGAGTCAATGCACCAAGGAAAGTTCAAATCCCAAACTCCTAAAGAAGCTTATGCTTTCTTAGAAGAACTTGCTGAGAATGCCCAAAGTTGGAACTGGAACCCTTGTGATGATGAATTCTCTAGGAATGATCCCTCTAAAAGAACTTCCAATCTTTTGAGATCAAACCTGAACCTGAATTCAAGTCAGTGATGCAAAGTCTAGCGGATGGAGTCAAAGATTTGAATAAAAAATTTGATGCCTTTGCTCTTATGTCAACAACTGCAAAATGTAATGTATGTTCAAGTTCATCTCATCTACTGAGGCTTGTCCGATCTACTGTACATCTAAACCTTCAGATGCAAAAGTTTATGCCTTTAATACCTATAGGAAACTGACGGCTAATTCCTTTAGTCAGACGTGTCATCCCGATTCAAGAAACCATCCAAATTTTTCGTGGCGACAAAATTTGCCTCCACAAAACTTAGGTGGTCCTCCAAGTTTCCAAGGTAATCCTAGTAGGCCCGCACAACCTCAAGGTTCTCTTGTCCCCCCAGGATATTTTCCTAGAAACAATCAGTTCAATCAAAATAGAGAAATTGCAATTGATCCAATGAGCAATTATGTTGCTCCTGTCCCACAGTACCACTGTGCTACCAATTATGAGGACACTATGGAAATGCTTGCCCTCAATCTTGATCAATCTAACAAGAAATCAGATCAAAGAAATTAAAAGTTGGAGAGTCACTTTGACCTCTTAACTCAGACTCAACTCCAATTTTAACAAACTATTCAAAGTCAGTTGACTCAACTCACTTCTGCACTATCTGAAAGACAAAAGGGTACCTTACCTAGCCAACCTGAAATTAATCCAAGAGGCAAAAAAGTGAATCACATTGGAATTTCCCCTCCTACTGACCAATCAAATAATCAAGTGAACTCCATCTTAACCCTTCGGTTAGGGAAGAAAGTCAATAACCAAGTTGAGCTACCCACCCAAGCTACAAGTGTACCATCCAAGTCTAGTGCATCAGACCCACCCAACACCAAAGAGGACCAAGGTTCCAAATCTGATCCAATCTATCTTCAATCTTATGTTCACCCCACCCCATTTCCTTCTCGACTAGTCAACAATAAGAAGGAGTCACAACACAGTGAGATCTTAGATATTTTTCAAAATCTTCAGATTAATATTCCATTTCTCACTGCTATTAAACAAGTTCCTTCTTATGCAAAGTTCATCAAAGATTTAGTTAAAAGGAAAACTAACATCCCAAAAGAAGCTTTCATAGCCCAAAATTGTTCTTCCTTCCTACAAAATCAAGCCGTGGTCAAGCATAAAGACTAGGAGTCCAACTGTCATTTGTAGGATTGGAGAAAAGTTTGCTGACCATGCTTTGTTGGATCTCGGTGCTAGTGTGAATTTGTTACCATATTTAGTTTATTTGGAGCTAGGCTTGAATAATTTGAAGAAAACTAATGTTAGGATCCAATTAGCTGATCGTTCTGTCAAAATTCCAAGGGGTATAATTGAAGATGTGATAGTGAAAATAGCTGATTTCTATTACCCGGTTGATTTTGTTGTTCTAGATACCCAACCTACCCGAGGTACGCAAATTCCTATCATCTTAGGTCGACCATTCTTAGCTACCGCTAATGCTGTGATCAATTGTCGAAATGGTAGTATGACGTTAACCTTTGGGAACATGAAATTGGAAGTCAATGTGTTTAAATTGATAAAACAACCCCTTGACTCAGATTCTATTGAAGAAATTTGTCTCATTGAGTCATTAGCCGCTCACACCTTTGAGCACTCTTACCTTGAGGATCCATTCCAACAGTGTTTAGCACATTTTTGTGATGAGTTTGATGCGGATAGTTATATTGGTGAGGTCAATACTTTACTCGATTCCACTCCAATCTTTAAACCACCAAAGATTAGGTTTGAACCATTATCTGTTCCCGCTACCACTACTCTCGAAACTAAGAAGAAGCCACCCAAGGTTGAACTAAAGCCTCTACCTGAGACTTTAAAGTACTCTTACCTAGGTGAGTCCGACACTTTTCCCATGGTAATTGCTTCAGACTTAACTACCCATCAGGAAACCTAACTTCTTAAGGTTCTTAGGGAAAATCGTGCAGCCATAGGGTGGTCCATTGATGATATTCGCAGTATTAGTCCTTTAGTGGTTCAACAAGGCAGCCCTAGAGGAGACTTAACCCTAATTTAAAGGAAGTTGTTCATGCTGAAATTATCAAACTTTTTGATGCCGATGTCATCTATCCCATTTCTGATAGTCAGTGGGTAAGCCCCATTCATGTTGTCCCTAAAAAATTAGGCATCACCGTCGTATCCAATAGCCATAATGAATTAGTTCCTACTCGTGTCCAAACTGGATGACGAGTTTGCATTGATTATCGAAAGCTCAATACTGTCACTCGGAATGATCATTTCCCTCTGCCTTTCATTGATCAAATGTTAGAAAGATTAGCTGGTCAATCCTTCTATTGCTTCTTAGATGGTTACTCTGGGTATAATCAAATCCCTCTCCACGTTGATGACCAAGATAAGACCACTTTCACCTGTCCATTTGGCACATTTGCTTATCGTCGCATGCCTTTTGGTTTATGCAATGCACCTGCTACATTTCAGTGGTGTATGATAAGTATTGTAACGACCCGGTCATTTGCCTTTCTTTCCTTTTTCTTGAAATTTTACGAATGAATTTTTTTCGTTTAATTTTCTTTTCTGAGCTCTGTTTCGTGTCGCTTAGTGTCATCTCGAGTGCTCGGAATTGGTTTCTGAGACTCTTTCATGTGAATTGACAACTTCCTTTGAGGACCAAGTCATTTTCGCATTTTTCGTTTTTCGACACTATTCACTTTTCGTCATTTTCCCTATTTCGTCCTTTTCCCTATTTTGTCTTTTCCCTGTTTGACACTTTGTTGGCGTAACCACACTTCTTGTGTTTGGAGTTGGTTTTTGACTTCATGTATCTCTATCTTGAGTGGTTTTCACGAAATACGTATCTTTACTTTTGCAATAAAGTACTCTAGTTGCTCCCAGTGTCCATAGGGGCATGGATGCAAAGTTCTTTGAAATTATTTTCTTTTCTTGGGATGTTTTTTGTAAATATCTTTTGAAGATATTTTATTTCAGGGGTTTTTAAGAAAATATTTTTGGAAGATATTTTTATTCTGGGCCACAAGTGCAGTTTTCACTTTTTGGAGGGGCCATTGTGCCATTAATGAAAGTTATTGCAAAATATTTTGTTTTGAGCCTGGATCCTCATATGGGATTCATTTTCATATTTCATCGAGTTGTGTACTCTTGGAATTTCCTCCTGGTCGATGTTTTCCAGTTTCAGGATTTCTGGCCCTAGTTTGCGCCAAACTTGTTTTGGGCATAACTTTCTGCTCGGGACTCAGTTTTTGATGCCGTTTCTTCCGTTGTTCATATTTTATCATTTTAAATCTTTTTCGTTCACAAAGTTTTGCCATTTGAGTGCGTCTGCTCAAATTTTACTTTTTCAAATCCTATGGGGCCCGTTCGAGGCACTTTTTGAGATTTCTATAAAAGGGGGGTGAGATATTTCATTTTTCATCTTCTCCCCTCTTCATGCACGACCTGGAGCTCCCATTGCAGCCCAAGGGGTGCTGCCATCTTCTCTCTCCTCTTTTGGTTCACTTTTCCTTGATGGAAAGTCTTCGGCCTTAACGTTTGTTGTTCCCCTCGCCGTGCTCTACCTTTCCCCCTTATTAGAATTCAGTTTTGACCATTTCTTGAGTTTGGTTTTGAGGTCAAGTTATGATTTTGATGGGGCTTTCATGGGGGTTATGTTCACGGCGTTGTCCTCGACAAAACCTAGTAGCTTCATCGGATTCGGAGCCGTTCCATTTTGAGGGCATTTGAGATTTTCATCTCAAATTGAGGTAGGAGATGTTCTAGGTTTAAATTCTTGTTATATTGCATGCTTGTGGCGCTTATAATACTTGTTTGCATGATTAAATATAAAATCTAGAGATTTTATTATTTATTTTTCTTGTACGGGATCTAATTTTCCCGGTTGCTCGTGACTTGGTTTAAACATGTAGCATGATTTTATATTGCCCCTTGATATGCTCATTGTCGTGTATTATAATTGGAACATTTGAATAAGTATTAAAGATTTTATTTAATATTTATCTTACGTGAAAGATTAATTCACATGTCCTTAACTAGCTTAAAATCAATATGTGTTAGCATATTAAATTAGGCCTTAGCATGCTCTCCAATATAGTTGAATTTGAAAATGATTGGAGGTGTTTTGAAAATTAGTAATTATTAATTAATTTGATTAATTAATTTGTCCCGAGTGCACTATTCACTCTATTTAAATTCCGACTTGATATTCTTGATTTACATGCCATATAGCTTCACATATATTTGATTTAGAATATTCGGTTAGGTTTTGAAATCTTTTATTTAATTAAATTCCATGTTTAAGATTTAATCCTCATGGTGATATACAACTTGGAATTGAATTGTGGAATGCTAGAAAATTAAGCTTTGGTGTGGTTGTTCACATATATTAAATTGGGATTAATTGCATGAGAATTGCAACCTTTATTTTAGATTTAACTTTAGTGAAAGTTTAATTTACATAAGTGTAACTTGCATGAAATAAGCTTGTAATGTGATATTACATTAGTCCTTGGCATGTTCTCTAAGATATGTTAAATTGAGAGCATTTGGTTAAGTTTGAAAATTTAGAGATTTTAATTAAAAGAATTAATTAAAATCTATTTTGTGGTCCCATTAGCTTAATTAAGATTTTAACTTGATATTTGTGTTGGCCATGATTTGTTTACTAGAATATATTAATTGTGGACCATTTGAAGTTGCTTTAGAACATTGGTAATTAAATTAGCATGACTTAATTAGAGTTCTACTTTGTTGTTCCAATAACCTAATTGAGTTTTAGAATGGATATAGGTGATGACCATGCCATGTCCTTTAACATGTATTAAATTGAGGTTATTTGGAATTGAATCGGAATCTAGAGAATTTAATTGTGTTTATCTATTTAAATTCTATCAATTTGCTTCATGATCTAGTTGTGTTTTAGAAGTGGTTTCTATATTCAAATCATGGACTTAGACTTGTTATATATTCATTTGGTTATATTTTGAACATTGGATAACATAGTTGCTATGTTTGTACTCATGAGAATATGTTTTTCTTATTGAATATATTGTTGCCTTGTGTAATGATTTGCACACTTCGTATTTAACATCATTCATGCATAGCGTGTAATGAATCGCACACTGAAGATTCGACATTCATCACATCATATTAGTTGTGGACTTAGAGCATGTATTGTATAGGTTTCCAAATTTGGTTGTGCTTGGTAGATAGTTGATTATCTTGCATATTCTTGTTGATATATGCGTTGTTGCACAACTTGTTGATTTTGGAAACTTGGGGATGTCATTTTTTGGCTATGGCTAGGACGTGGTTCTAGTACGGGGGATAGTCCCTCTATATATAGTCTAGTGCGCACATAGGGAGGTTACCCATGGGCTAGTAACCCTAAAGTAACTATGTTGTCGGTCTGATCCAGCGTGACGTCCGAGTATCCACTTTGTTTGATTTCGCATTTTATTTTCAAGTTGATAACTAGATGATGTTGTAACTTGTTGTTTCTTATTTGTCATTTCATTTTAAGTTACAGGATGTTAACTTTGCGAAATTGTGCTTTATGCGTTGTATTGGAAGTTCCAATGTTGGTTAAATTGTATCGATATTGAAAATCGTGTTTTGACATTCTAATAAAGCTTAGGATTGATCCTATTGATTCATTTATAACATAGACGTTAGGTGGCATGAACCACTACTGTTATTTTGTGCTTTAGATTCTAAGTTGATGGCTTGAGAACTTAAACCTTGTTGCATTGTATAACATGCTCTTTTGTTGTTGAATTGCATGGATAATGTGATTCTTGTTAAGTTGTATTCAAATATGCTTTTGTCATGTTGTATGGATTACTCTAGACCTAGTTCAATTGTATTGAAAATGTAATTCATGTTAATCTATGCTCAAGCATTCTTCTTATCGTGTTCTTTGGATTATCCCAACCATGATTCGTTTCATACACGTATGTATATCATGATTCTTGTTGCTTAGACTCTAAGGTAGCTTAGGATGCTCCCCGAGTCTCATTTGGACATAGATGTTAGGTGGCATGAGCCCCTTTAACATGTTTCACCTTAAGATGATAAATTTGTAAAATGCTTGGTCGATGCATGCTCATCTCCTACGAGTAGCTTTATGTTACTCAACCCTATGATACTGGGGCATATTTCAGGTACGAAGACTTGGTTCGTGACGCCTAGCATTCCTTGGATGTCGTGTAGCTTTCAAGTTTCCATTTCATGTAAATATTAGCATGAAATGTCATTTTGTAGACTTATATGTCAAAATATGTATATTTGATTCCATGTATGTAATGTGTACATAAGTGCACTCCTTTCAATGTATTTGACATGTATGAGATGAGGCCGGAGGCCAATGACATGTGTATTGTATTCTATACAACTTTTTAACTTCATGAAATATTATGAAAACCTTGAAAAATCGCAAGTCATTGATTCACCATGGTTGCATCGGGTGTGAGAATTCCATTTTCATTCTTTCATAAGGTCTTATTAATCTTGTAAGAAGTGTGGCCAAGGGCCAAATGGTCATTTGATCCCATTTTGTAATTTTGGATTCTGAGTTTTCATTCCAAGTTCCATTTTTGCCTTTTTGCCCGTTAGGGGGTCGAATTTTGTATCGGTGGTATATTTAAGTCGTGGACCATTGTAGCACGTCCAAATAGGTAGTTACGTTTGCGTGCATGGTCGTTTCCGGGCAAAACCTTATCATTTGTGTTTTGAGCCTCTTGTGAATTCATTTCGCATTTTTTTTTTGCATATTCTGATCTAGGGGCATTTTGGACCTCTCACGGTGGTTTTATTTTTTTCTTTCAACATGGTTGAATAGAAAACATGATTTTAGGGGGGGTTTCTTTTCTGTGTTTTTCCAGAAAACGTCATCTTGATATCAGAAATCGCTTACGAAGTTCAGCTTTCAGTTTTCCAACTTAGCAGCTTTGTGGACCTCCATGACTAGATTTCATGGAGGGGCATTTCGGGCATTCTACATTGCATTTTTTTTTCTAATTCTCTTAAGAGTCACGTAGAAAATCCAATTTTGAGGGGGGTTTCTTCTTTGTGTTTTCCCAGAAAAATTCATCTTCTAGCCCTTTCTTGCTCTCAGTTGCAGACAGTCACTGTAGCAACTTTTAACCCTCTTGTTCAGTTCTGATCTAGGGGCATTTTGGGGATTTCACAGTGAATTTTTTAAAATTCCGTTCACGCGATCGGGTAGAAAACTCGATTTTAGGGGAGGTTTCTTCTTCGCGTTTTTCCAGAAAAACTCGTTTTGACCTCCGTTTCAAGCCTCAGTTCTGGGCAGATAAAAAAAAAACGTAGCAGCAGCCAAGGGCTGCCACCAGCCATGTCTTTAGGCGCCGGTGGGCTCGCGCGTGGGCGCCGTGTGCGCCATGGCCTTCGTCAGGCCGCCACGACGTCTCAACTTCAAACCCTCGTTTCTCCCTCGTCCGAACTCCAAATCGAGTGAACTTTTTTTTGAACTTGACTAATTTTTCGCGGTCTTTCCAACGGTGTGCTCGGTTACACCCAGTTCTTCCTGGATAATTACCAGTTTACCCTTTTTACTTTAAGTGCTCGGTTTTCTTCGTCATGCCATTTCTCCTTCGTCCGGACTCCGAATCATGTGATTCTTTAGTCCATCTTGATTAGTTTTTCATTGTCCTTCTAGCGGTCTACTTGGTGGCACCCGAATCTACAGTTTTCAGAAATGACTATTTTGCCCCTGGGGGCTTATTTGTCATATTTTTGATCTTTTGCTTCCGTCAGTTCTTGTTGAGTTCCATGACCTCATGGAAGGTCACTTTGACTTCTTAGAGTCTTGTTTTCTATTTTCGCTTCCGCATTCGGATCCGTTATCGGATCATCCTTACGGTTCATCACAGGACACGCTGGCCTAAAAACTAGGGTCGTCACAAGTATTTTCAGTGACATGGTTGAAAAGTTTCTTGAAATCTTCATGGATGACTTCTCTGTCTCTGGTTCATCATTTGAGCAATGTCTTCACCATCTTACTCTTGTTCTTCAGCGTTGTTGTGACACTAACTTGGTTCTTAACTGGGAAAAGTGTCATTTCATGGTTAAAAAAGAATTCTCCTCGATCATAATATCTCTGTTATAGGAATTGAGGTAGATCAATCCAAAGTTGACCTTATCTCGAGTTTACCCATTCCCAAAACTGTTCGGGATATTAGAGCTTTCTTAGGTCATGCTGGTTTTTACCGTCGTTTTATTAAAGATTTCAGCAAGATAGCAAGACCTCTCACCCATCTGTTAGGGAAGGACATACCATTTGAGTTTACCGATGCTTGTCGCTCTATTTTTGAACAATTAAAGTCAGCTCTCATCACTGCACCCATCATTCGTTCGCCAGATTGGAACTTGTGATACCCCCAGATCTCCGGATGCGAGTTGGCCAGACCCACGCCCGATTACCCGAGGATATCAAACCAATTAGCAATAAACAAACACATAATACAATTAAGAAAACAGGAATAAATAAATTATTGAAAAGAAACTAGAATAATAAACCAAAATACAAAACCTCAGAATAAAATTTTATAAATAAAGTATTATTCCGATACATCCAAATTCCCCATTTCTAATACAACTCGGGAATCCATCTGATAGACCCCTAATAAACTCCAATACCAAAATCAACAACTGAAGAACTCCAATGTTAAATCTCGAAGAAACTCCTACGTCGTCGGAAGAATGAGAAACCGTTTCTGCTCAGCATGAACAAGCTTCAAGACTTGGAACCATCCGTTACCTGAAAAATAAGAGTGGGTCAGGCCCACGTACAAGTTCTATCTTAATTACAATCCAAACAGAGACCCGATACACAGATACATCCTAGATGTCTCAACCATATCTATATAGTCCGAAAATAGATATACATATATAACCACACTACAGGACTCTCACTAGACTATGTTGAGGGTCTCAACCTGAATAGAAGGCAACATGCAAAACGCACCTGAGTGGGCATGACTACCTAAGCCTAACAGGGTATACCTCAACCAACATAGCTAGCTACGCATCCTACTACATATACGCTTCCTAACCATCGACTATGAGACTCAAGCTCAGATCGCGGTACCATAACTTATATATATAAATTCCCATCCAAACCAATGCAGTGTCGCTCAACAGTTCGTTGCCATGACACTACATAAAATTAGGATTTAAGTGTTTTAATTAAATCCCTACCCTTCCTATTAACAGAAAATATAAACAACCATCTAGTTTGTCGTTCAACCGTTTTAGTTGACAGGACATGAAACCATATAGGATTTAACTGTTTTAGTTAATCCATTCCATATGTATGAATGGGTAGGAATTAGCGTTGTGACCTAATTCATCCCTCCGTATGACACCGTCCCATACCGGTGCATACATGCAAATAATCCGTTAATGATGCAACATTATAAGCAGTACATCAAATAAAGTCCACAGTATCCATATAGTTGATAAACACAAAATTTAAACACGTCATCAAATAAAAATCCAGAATCCATCCATGTAATTAAATAAGACAAAGTTTACTAATTCGTCAAGTTGAAATCCAGAATCCGTCCATGTAATTAATGAGACAAAGTTTAATGTTTCATCAAGTTAAAATCCAGAATCTGTCCATGTAATTAACGAGACAAAGTTTAATGTTTCATCAAGTTAAAATCCAGAATCCATCCATGTAATTAACGAGACAAAGTTTAATGTTTCATCAAGTTAAATTCAGAATCCATCCATGTAATTAACGAGACAAAGTTTAATGTTTCATCAAGTTAAAATCCAAAATCCATCCATGTCATTGATACTTTAATTTATCTAACTTAAAGTTCAACTAATACCCTAATACAGTCCAGCAGTCGACAACATTATCAATAGTATAGTGTCAATTTATAAATTTGAGAAGGATAAAATATAACTCAGGAAATCTACAGCTCTAACCAATAATTGAAGAAACAGACAGAACAGTTTAACAATTAAAATAACAACCTCCATTGAATTAATGAAACCTAATTTACTAGTTCCTTAATTAAGAATCCAACCTATGCACAAATAAGGTCTAACAAATACATGACCCTATTATACATCCAAAAATAGACTTTTAAATCATAAATCAGTCATTTACATTGCTACATCAAATTAAGCAATTAAATTCTCTCCGTTCGTTAACAGTATACGACTCGTTCTTAATCTTTTATACTGTTCAAGATCCTTAGCATAAAGTTCAAATTATGCATCCTAATGGTTTTAATACATCATGACTTAATGTTTAGAACCCTGATAACATCCATAAATAATTCTGGAACCTCATTTGTCCCAACAGTATGCAAAAACCCCTAGAAACACACTGAAACAAAAGAGCCTACTCTCAAAATTGGAGAGCAGGCTCACAGAAACCATGGAGCAGCCTCCTAGAAGGGTAGAGCTGGCTCTACCTCTCCTAGAGCCGGCTTTACAATGGGGGGAGCCGGCTCTTTGCATTCCAGAGCCAACTCTCCCTCTCTGAGAGCCTTCTCTCTTCTGATGTTGCTCCGTCTGACTACCAGCTTCGTCTCCGACCATTCTTGACCCTCTGTTCACCTTAATACTGAACCTAAAAGTCCTATTTATACCCCATCTCATCCCCATGACTTGTTCACAAAAGTTCAGATCAAATACAGTGTTTAAAACCTTAACCGATTAAACATGTTTCCATCCCAAACTGCAAACCAGAGATACAAAAATTAAAATAGAATAATTCCACCCATACAGACATCTGATTTAGCATATAACAAGCATGTATAATTTAATTAATGATCAATTAAAACCCTAGAGACAGTCTAAGGATGCACAGAACACAGGCAACGGGAGAGAGAAAGGAAAGAACTTGCCTTTACAGTTTTGGATTCAAAACTTTATTGCCGTCATTCTAAGTTTTTCCGGTGATCCAATTCACTGTTAAATCTCCTATGGCTCACTCTTCCCTTCTCCTATGTCCATTCTTCAAGCCATGGTTAAGCCCTCACCAAAGTTGCTCTGTTTGTTTCTCACAACCTCTCTGTTTTCACACTGTGTTTTGATACGTGAATAGGGTTTTCCAACCCTTCCTTCAGGCTATAAACATATATATATAGGCACAGATAAAACCTAATTCTAATGGTAATTTACGATAGAAACCCTAACCTAAATTAAACCCTACTCGGCCCATAGGTTGTAATCCGTCTCTGCTTCCACCTACTGGACCACTCAACAGAACCCAAAAGACTGTAACAACGTAATTTAAATTCTCATTTAACTTAATTAAATAATTAAAACAAACTAAATAAAAAACCCATAAATTAAATCATTTCCACAAATCAATTAAACAAAGGAATGCAATTAAATTAAATAATCAAACAACAACCCTAATTAAAAACAATTAATTTAAATAAAATAATTAATTTAAAACAATTTAACACCTAAGCACATAGAATAAAATTTAAATTCCAATCTTATCCTTTTGACAACTAGGGGTATTACAGAACTTACCTTTTGAAATCATGTGTGATGCATCGGATTATACAGTAGGAGCTGTCTTAAGTCAAAAGGTTGAGAAAGCACGACATGTCATCTATTATGCTAGCAAAACCCTAAATGATGCCCAAATCAACTACTCCACCACGGAGAAAGAGTTGTTAGCAATCGTGTTTTCCTTTGACAAATTTCGTTCCTATTTGATCTGTTCCAAGGTTATCATCTATACCGATCATGCTGCATTAAGACATCTTCTCTCCAAAGCGGACGCCAAACCTCAGTTGATCCGTTGGATCCTACTTCTTCAAGAGTTTGACCTTGAGATTCGTGATAAGAAAGGCTCCGATAATGTGGTGGCCGATCATTTGTCCCGTCTTGTTGTTGAGTCCATTACTGACTCCATTCCAATCTCAAATACTCTTCCGGATGAACAATTATTTGCAATAACTCATGCCCCATGGTATGCTGATATTGTCAATTACATTGTGACGGGTTAAATTGCTTCAACTTGGTCCAAACACGAGAGAGAAAAATTCCTAGCTAAGGTTAAGGAATATTTTTGGGATGACCCCTACTTGTTCAAATATTATCTAGATCAAATCATCCGTAGGTGTGTCCCTGAGGTAGACCAAGAATCTGTCATTTCCTTCTGCCATGATCAGGCCTGTGGTGGCCACTTTAGCTCTAAAAGAACCGCTACCAAAATCTTACAACTGAGATTTTATTGGCCCACCCTTTTCGAAGATACCCACACCTACTGTCTGGCTTGTCATAGATGTCAATTGTTAGGTAAGATTACCAAGCGTAATGAATGGCCCCAACAACCCATTTTAGTTGTTAAAATTTTTTATGTTTGGGGTATTGATTTCATGGGACCCTTTCCTTCCTCATATGGATGTCTTTATATCCTTCTGGCTGTTGATAATGTATCCAAATGGTGCATTTCTTCAAAGACCTAATTTTACCTAGGTTTGGTACACCTCGAGCCATTATAAGTGATAATGGTTCACATTTTTGCAATAAAGTCTTTGGAAGTTTATTATCTAACTATGGTATCACTCACAAAGTGGCCCTGTCATATCACCCACAAACCAATGGTCAGGATGAGTATCCAATAGGGAAATTAAGCAAATACTGGAAAAAACAGTTAATCCTACATGGAAAGACTGGACCCTCCGGCTTCAGGATGCTTTGTGGGCAAACCGGGCTGCTTACAAGAACCCTATAGGAATGTCCCTATACCGTTTGGAATATGGCAAAACCTGTCATTTGCCTGTAGAGCTGGAACACCGTGCTTATTGGGCCATTAAGGCCATGAATTTTGACTCTGATAAAGCTGGTGAACATAGGAAACTCCAGCTTGATGAGTTGGAAGAAATTCGAAATGATGCATATGAGAGTTCCAAAATGTATAAAGCCAAAACAAAGTTAGAACATGACAAGCACATTCTTCGAAAGGATTTCTCCCCCGGATAAAAGGTTCTTTTGTATAACTCCCGTCTTCAATTGTTTCCCAGGAAGTTACGGTCACGTTGGTTCGGCCCATACTTTATCAAACATGTGGCAAGTCACGGTGCAATTAAGGTACAAGACCCCACGACTGGGGAATTGTTTAAAGTTAATGCTCATCGCTTAAAGCCTTTCCTTGAGCTCGAGTCTCATGAAATTGAGGATATTCTCCTCGTTGATCCTGTCTATTAGGATTGATCTCTCTGGGGGTACTATCCCCCTTGCATCTGGCTAAAGACGTTAAACTTAGCGCTCCTGGGAGGCAACCTAGTTCATTGCTTCTATTTCTTTAGCAATGCTTATATTTTGTTTAGGGGTACAATCTGTCGTAATTTCAGAACATTTGGTCTCTCTTTTGCAATGACTATCTGCAGGGATTGTAGTATTGTACTTCAGAAGCACCAAATCAATTGAGGTAATTCGTTCCAATTTTTCTTTTTCTCCAGCAGTACATTGTCCATTTCATTCACCACTTTTCAGTGTTCTGTTTTTCAAACACTAGGGACAGTGTTTTATTTTGTTTGGGGTAGGACAGATTTATCAAAACATGTACCTCTTTTGAAAATCTTTTCACAAAAGAAGAAAGAAAAAAAAAAAAAAAAAATCCTGCTTTTCTACTTTATAAAAGTTAAGAGATGTCATTATTCTAGACTGAGATTGAGCTTGTTACTAAGGTGATATAACGATAGACATTGCACCATGAGAATTTAGAAGTAGAAATATTTTTGCACAAAGTTATAGCTTGAAAGAAAGAAGTGAATAATCTCCCAAGAATCTAGAAATCTATTACTAGAGACTTAAAACCATGTGAGCTTTAATGCCTTTCATCTTTTTAGAGAGCTTTACGCTAACTCCGAGTCACAAGATGGCTCAAATTTCTTGGATAGCACAATAAAAATTTGTTGTTAGTCTCATAATCCTTCATCTTGGTAGATCATTGAGAATGAAATCACATCGAGTTAAAAGAAACATAAGTCTTCTAGTTTACTATGTACTATGATACCTTCATTACCTTTTGTAGTCTTGTTATTTTTCTGAGAAATGTTAGAGATGATTGTATGTAAAAGAAAAAGGGATCAAGAAGTCATTCATATCCTCTTGAAAAAAAAAAAAGAGTAAAGTATCTCTTTCAAGTATTTTGAAGACCCCTCATTCTCAGAAACATTTATGTACAAATTGAGCTCAATAATATTTTTAGAAAAGGTATGATAGTGCATAGTAAATAAGAAGGTGTTATGGTGGGTAACTCAACATTCTCTCAAAAGTGATCAACATTCCTATCATGAGACTCTTCTATTATATGTATCGGTCCTTCAAATAATTAGTATGTGAGCTTGATTTTACTTTGGAAACAGAGTTCCTACTCACATACATTTGAGAGATACAGTTAGCCAAATCCTCGAGAGATGTTCTTTTAGAGAGATATTTATTGTGAGATTTGAAGTCAAAGCATAGTTTTCTAAAGACTTGGGAATTTCATCACTTGGATTTGAAAATGGATTTTTGTTGACTTGGCACACACACACTCTCTACTTCTAGGTTGTTCATGGATGAACTTTCTTAAAATATTTGTTTTTATAACACCTTAGTAGCTCGTTGTATATAAAGAACTTGATATTTTCATCTCTGAAACTTTTCATTTTGTAGATATGCAGGAAAATTCTTTGAAAATTTATGGGTACCTTCACTGGAAACCCTCACGAGGCTATAACTCGTCCACTAGGGGTAACCTAGTGGTTTAAGGCCTTATTGCATATGGTAAATGCAATCGAAAGTAGCCTGCGAAAGTGACAAATCTTTTTGTCAATAAAAGTAATATTTTTTGTGAATTTATCTATTTTTGTCTTTCTTTGCTAGAGGACTAGCAAAAGCTTGTTTGGGAGTAGTTTGATAAGTACACAAAACCTATTATTTTAGACACCAAAATAAGGTTTTAATTAGACTTTTATATTATTTAAATATTCTTATATGTTTGTTTTGTGTTTTGTAGGTATTAATGCATGAATGAGAATAAAATAAACAAAAAAAAGGAAAATAAGTGAAAAAAAGAGAAAGAAGAAAAGAAGAAAAGAAAATGAAGAAAAGATATAAGGAGAGAGAAAGAAGAAAAGAAAAGAAAAAGAAAAAGAAAAAGTCAATCTATATTGTATGGTTTGAGGGTGCACGTGAAGAGGAGGAATGAAGAGAGAGAAAGAGGAGAAATGAAAAGAGAGTGATGATGAGGAGAGAGAGAAAGAAGAAAAGAAAAGAAAAAATATAGGAAATGGTCAGTGGCAGCAGAAAGGTGGCGTGAAGCAATGAAGAAGAAATTTGGGCAAACCATCATCATAGCCTTCAAGTGGATTGCTTCAACTGTCTATAAATTGCACACTTCGGATAGTGAGAGGGAGTAGAAAGTTAGAGATAGAAAATAGAGAGTTAGAAATTGTTATAGTTTTTGAAAGTTTAATTTCTTGTGTAATTTTCTTTAAAGCTTTATTTAATTTAATGCAAGTTATTTCCACAAGTTTCATTCTCATTTAATTTCTCATTCAAGTGTTTAATGTTTTATAGTTATAATTTCATTTCCATAGTTCGTGACAAATCTCAAAATCAATATTTTTAAATCTCATGTTCGGAAATAAAAACTCACCTTGAATGCGTGGTTCGACCTTACTTGCCTTTAGACATTTTTAGTTAAATGGTTGTAGGTATTTTATCTTGAAATGGAGTGCATTTGACAACGATAAGTCTATAAATACACGCCTATCAATACTATTGCTATCTTTTGTGATAATACTAGTACAATTAATATTTCAAAGAATCCAGTTTTGCATTCTAGGACTAAGCACATTGACATTCGACATCATTTTCTTAAGGAAGTTGTTGAACAAAATGTCGTGTCTTTGGAAAAAGTGCATACTAATCAAAATTTGGCTGATCTTCTCACTAAACCATTAGATGCTCCTAAGTTTTCTCATTTTAGGAAATCTATTGGTGTTTGTAGTCTTGATTAGATGCATTGAAAAGATATAGTCTAGAAAGGATTTTCATGCATATCTTGAGAGTCTAGATTATGTTTTTGGGAAGTTAAGCAAACCATATTGATTGAGTATATTGAACACAAGGAGTTTAATGACATATGGGTTATCTGTGGAAAATATGCAATGGCTATGAATTGATGAAATTGGTTTTGCTTACTTTTTTTTTTTTTTTCCTAAATGAAGGAGTATATATATATCAAAAATATAAACAAAATATTACATAAGGAAAAATGAAGGCATACCTTCATTAAAACAACCAATGTCCCAAAAACAGAACACAAACAAGTCCTAGATAAGGACCAACTCACACAAAGCTAAAAGAGAATGAAAATTACAAAATATCCTGAAGAGGAACCCCCAAAACATCAAGCACTTCCCATAAAATACTTTTAGCTAAATCCTTAGCCTCTCTAGTATTCTTATCATGCACTCTATTGTTTCTTTCCCACCAAATAAAATAAAACACAGCAGTAAAAATCAGTCTTTCCATCTTCTTTGTTTGCTTTCTCTGACCTTGCTGTTGTATTTGAGCAATCAAAACTGATACCCTATGAGACCTTTATAAATTCCAGCCATAAACCTCAGAGAGAAAACTCCACACCTTCCATGTATAATGACAGCTACAAAAAATATGATCCAAAGTTTTATCATGTATATAACATAGATAACATCTACTTGCCAATGCATAGCCCCTTTGTTTCAGCAGCTCTTGTGACAAAATTGCTCTCTGCATAACCAACACTGGGTGCATAGACCATCTAGGATGACTTCTATTCCAACAAAAACCAGACCAATCAACCTCTTGATTTCTCAATCTAGCAACCTCCCAAGCAACCTTAAACCCAAAGCGAGTAACCCATAGAACCTTGTCTTCACCTCCAATAATCAACTGATTTCTGAACAGCTCCACCAATCCCTATGTAGTGTTACTCAATATCTCTTCATCCCAATGTCTATCTCTGATAAATTCATTTATACAAATGTTTCTATCTCTACTCAAATACCCTAGCATTCTATGATTAAAAATTTCAGACAAAAACTTCCCTTCACACCAAGGGTCTAAAAAAATTTTAATCTTCTCACCATTACCAACCTTGAATCTGCAATTCATCTTCAAATAATCTCTGATTGCAAGGATGCTTTTCCACACATTTAATGGTCCCTTTAGGAAGAACTTTCCAGAAAGATGCCCTTTCTCAAATAATATCGCCTAAACCATGCAACCAAAATTCGATCTTTAAATAGAAGAAAATCCCAGGCCAGACAAATTTTAGTAGCAGTATTAATATCTTCAATTCTTCTTAAACCGAAACCACCTTCATTTTTTGGAACTGTAATTTTATTCCACCTGAGACTATGCATTTTCTTACTATTTTCAAGGTCGGTGTCCCCAAATGAAATTTCTCATTCTTCTCTCAATGATACTAGAAACAACCATAGGTAATGAATAAATAGATGTCCAATACTGTACCATTGGAATAATAACAGCTCTACTTAATTCCACTCTACCAGCCATTGAGATGTGCATCCCATTCCACTTTGAAGTAACAGCAATAACCTTATCCACCAAGCTTAAACAATCCACTCTCCTCAACATTTTATCAAAAATTGGAACTCCTAAATAGATGAAAGGCAATTTCCCTTCCTTACACCCAAGTATTATAAGAATGGTAGACCTTTTTCTCACTGATCTAGTCATGTACAGTAAATGAATTGATGAAATTGGTTTTGCTTACTTATTTTGTATAGTAAATGAATCATTGATAGTACATTTACTTGAGATATCATTGTTTTGGTCTAAGATAATATTGACATGATTGATCATTGTCTTGGGATTTAAAATTGATTTATGTGTTTTAGACCAAAAGAGTGAAAAGAAAAGAAAATTGAAAAATAGCTTGAAATGAAAAAGATTTTGAAAAAAAAAAAGAAAAATATTTTCTGTTTTGAAAAAAAAAAAAAATAGGGTGATATGGAAAAGGTTACCTTTGGGATTTGTCTGAAAGCTACCTTAACTCGAAACAAATGGGAATAAGGGAAAGAGCTGGCTGCCCATAAGCGTGAAAGCCGCCAGTGTGCAAAAAGAAAACTGGAGCACAAAGAGAAAAAAAAAATAAAAAAAATAAAAAAAAAGGTCTTTTGCACATGTTGATTGTTTGATTTCTAAGG